TAACAACAACAACAACAACATCTAAAAGTATACATCATATTTGTTGTTAAATATTTAAATTTAATTTTGTCATTAAATATTTAAATTGTCAAATAAATAAGCATTTCAAATTTTATAGGGAGAGAAGGATTGACTGTATTTAAATAAATATTAAAGTGTGTGACTGGGTTGCAGATGTTTATCTACCTATTAAAAATGCTCACAGAATGGCAAAAAAAGTTGCCTGAAATTTTTACCCATGGGCTTTAGCCAGAATGTTGTGAGCGTGTTACAATCCTGGAAAACTATGCAGAGGAAAGTCCCTGATCTACTGCTGGGGCTCTGGATTCGGAACATCCCACGCCAGCCAAGCCTTCTCTTAAGGATTGTGTGGAAGCCGGGGAGCCGGGAAGCTGTTATCCTAGTCAGGGTTCTCTAGACAAACAGAGCCAGCTATGTGTGTTGGTAGTCGCCAACTTACGACGGGGTTCTGTTCCTAGGACTCCATTGTAAGTTGGTTCTGATGTAAGTCAATACCTCCTTTTTTCATTATCATGGCCTCTTATTACCAGTATCTTTTTAAATCTGATCTTTATTTGTCTTGGGGAGGGGGGGGGGTTGGAAACATTACATATAAACATCAGCCAATTACATGCTGCAACACTGTATGTAGTACGTGTTACCATAAAATGTAACAAAAAAAACAAAACCACCCAACCAGATCTGTCCATGTAAATGCAATCCATCCTAAGTCGAATGTGTTGAGGGATTGACACACAACTGGAGGGGCTTGCAAATCCAAATGTGAGGGTCAGGCAACAGGCTAGAGAAGTCTGCAGGCTTGAGTCCCAAGACCTGTAGGTCAGGCGACCAGAAGAGTGCAGAGGAGAGAGAGGGTGAGTTCTGCCAAAGTCGGAAGGCAGACCACCTCCTGAAGAACTTTCTTGCCAGCTGATTGACTGATCATAGTAGATTACGGTAGGGAAGGTAGTGCTGACTTCTCACTGCATTAGGCTGCATTGCGGAAGGTGACTACATTGCATTCATTAGATAGTATTATGGAACAGCAGCTAGACTAGCGTTTGGCCCGACCACTGGGAACCATTGCCCACCCAAGCAGA